GTTTCCAGGGCGGCTGGACAATCGCACCGTGCCCGCCGGGCTCCGCATCCCCCGCCGCCCCAGCGCCGCGCCGGGGGCTCCCGAGCGCGGTCCAAACGCGCCGTGCGGGAGCTGCGCCCGCGGCAGGTGCCCCGCGCCCCGCACACGGGGCGTCCTGCCCGCGGCCCCGCCGCGGACACGCGTGTGCCCCGCGCCGCCGCGCAAAAGGGGCCGCGCCCCCCCCGGCCCTGCCCGGCCCGCGGGGCCCGCCCTTACCAGATGGAGCTGCGGATCTTGGTGCTGCAGCGCGCTGGCCTCGCCGCCCTGCAGCCCCGGCACCAGGGCCGGCAGGGCCCCGCCGCGCGGGGGTGCCGGCGAGCCGCCGCGGCGCGCTGCCCGCCCTCGCGCTGCTGCTCCTCGGCCATGTGGGACGCGAGCGGCGCTGGCCCGCACTAGGCCTCTGCGCAGCGCTCGAAGTGAGTCGCCTCCCCGCCGCCCGGGGGACATCACGGGCGAACCCGTCCCGCCGCTAGACGCCGCAGGATGGCGAGCCCGGCCCGCGCTCGGCGCGTGGCGGCCCGGCCCCGCCGCCCCGCGCAGGGTCGCTCGCGCTCCCCCCGCCCCGCAGCGGCAGCGGCAGCACCTGGCCCGGCCCGCCCGCCGCTCCTCGCCCCGCGGCCGCCGTGCCGCCGCGGCCGCGCAGTGCGCAGGCTCGGGCGTGCCCCACACACGGGCCGCCCCGCGAGGGGCCGGGCCGGGGGCGGCGAGCGCGGCCGGGCGGGGCGGCGGCCCGCCGGCAGCACCGGGACCCCCGCCCTGGGAGGGGGCGCTGCGCCCCGGGACGCCCGGCGGCGGGAGTAACACATACACGCGTGTCTGTGTGTGATGTGTGCGTCTGTGTGTGTTCCACAGCGGGTACGGCACACGCAGCCGCCCCGGTGTCCGGGCGCGCCGCAGACACGTGAAGCCGCTGCGGCGGCAGCAGCATTGCATTACATCAGCTGCGGCACCGCGGCCGGGAGCGCCCCGCAGCCGCGGCTGATAACAAAATAACAAGTGCCTGCCGTGTCCCTGGGGGAGCCCAGGCCGGGCCATGTGTGCCCTTAGCCTGCCCGTGCGTCCCCCGCACATGAATGGGGCCGGGCTGCCATAAATGCCGTCGGCCTTTACTCACAACCTTCCTGTGATCAACGTTTTCCCAAAAAAATTTAAGATGCTCAGGTACCACAACTGTACTCTGTGAACTACACGCACAAGCTGTATTTTGGCTCCTGGCATCGTGGCTTTTCATGAAAAAGCCAGAGGAACTGCAAAACCTGGGGCAATGGGGGAATAAATACCCAAATTCGAGGACTATGATACAAGGTGGAAGTTATTATAGTCATGATTAGGAGTTGGACTGAATGATCCATGTGGGTCCCTTCCAACTCTGGATATTCTATGGTTATTGTTTCTTTTCCCACCATGGTCATGGTAACAAAGACAGCCCAAGCTGCCCCTGTGTTGCCCCTCTTTTCCCAGTCACTCCAATTCTGGTAGTGTTCCCACTTGAATTCACAGCTTCAGCCCACTGGGCAGGGGCAAGGACACCCAAGTGCCCTCTCTGACAGTGGTACACAAGGATGAAGGAGTGACTTCCAAGCCTGTGCTGATCACAGAAAACGTGGGCCTAAAGGTGACTAATAATGTAAATATACACATGGAGACACAGCATTGCTAAATTTAGGAGGTGAGTATTTTGTCATCAACCAAAGCGAGGCCTTTCAAAAATAAATCTTTGCTTACGTTTCCACTGCTCCAAAATCAGAACGTTAATAGCGATGACGATGACGGTGATCTTCCCCTTATAAAACCTCTCATCAGATCCACGAAAAATAAGGTCTTTTGTTCCTCCCTCTTATTAAAAACATTTTTTAACATCAATTGGAAATTTCTGAAGGTCATCCAAAAAATAAAGAAGAGAAAAATACAAGTAAAAATTGTAGTCAGAAGTAAACTGTGAACTACCCAGTCTGACAACAATTTAAAATCCCAAACTGATATGCTTTTTGCAAGAAAACTACATCAGTATGCAGGTAAACTGTCACGGGAAGACAAAGGTGAATGTCCTGGGTGATATTTTCTACTTTTGTGGCAATTTCCACTTATTATCAATTGTATTAACACAGCCAGGGTTGCCTCTGTTGAGATCTTTTGTTGGACCCTGTCACATCTGCCTGGCCAAAACTTAACCCGCAGAGCCATTAAAGAATTCTGAATATCTGTCAGTCCCAGATTGAAATCGCTGGCCCCACACATCAGAATAAAGTTCAACAGATGTGCATCATGTTTGCAGGATCACAGACTATTACAATACATGGCAAAAATATGTATCATTTCATTGTTGCTTGCAGTCTAAACCAGCAGCTAGAAGACCAGTTTATTATTTAGTTCTTCATGAATTTAGTTCCCCATGAATTTAGTTCCCAGCCATGTCAGCTTGTAATCACATTTATTTACAGCTGTGTGGTCATCACAGGATAAAAAAAAAATTAATTAGTGACTTCTCCTGCAAAATCTGCTGTGCCATGCCGGGCTGGCACCAGAGGGTTGCCACCCTGAAATCACACCAGGTGTTTAAGGCAGAATGAGATTAAACTGAGAGAGATTAAACAAGAGGGCCAGATTCCCAGGTTGCATTTTTGTGGTGAAAGTGGGCCGTGGGCCTCAGAAGCTACGTCTGTGCTCCCATATCTCATCATCAATCCATCTTCTTTAAAAAAAAGCAACTTTTTTTCCTGTGCCTTTTGGGTGTGAAGCCCTTCAACTGTAAGCCTGTTCCTAGCAGGCTTAAAATAAGATTCCACAAAGGCCTAAAATAAGACTGGGGTCCCATTTTGTCTAAAGAAGAGATTTACTTCTCAGGCATAGCAGTAAAGTAGAATTTAACATTTTTTTCACAGCCTGATACTTGGAAGAAATGGGTCTGTGTTGTGTTTAATACAGCACAGAAGCCCATGCTCTATACTTCCCTTTATGCAGCAGGCAGGCCCATAAATGGAGGCCACATTGGCTGACTCCTACACAACCACCTGAACTTGCCTTGTTTTGTAGTTTCTGCACCTGTGCAAAATGGGCAAAAAAAGTGGCAATTTATATGCAGATTATGTCATCATACATAACTCCAGCAAAGAACAAACAGATCCAGAATTATTGTGTAAACAGAGAACTAGTGCTGACGGAACTAACTTGAAGATACTGAGGGGAATTATTTAACAGCTGTGAGATGAACCTGAACTCAGATGGACTGAGTGGACATCTCCAGGGAATATCATCCAAGGAATATCATTTAAGGACCCTGTTGCAGTTCTTGTACCTAATGGCTCTGAAAACCTTCATTTGATGCAGGGATTGAGCTCCTTGTCAGCAGTGTATAAGAAACACACCTAAAGTAATACACAGGAGTTAATTTTAAGTCCCATTACTCTTAATGAAGGCATGTGTGAAAGTTTAAGCATGTCAGAAACATGACCAGTATTGGCAGGACTGAGATCTTTCTCGTTCTTTCCCATTTTCCAAACGTCTGTCCTTATTGGAGAGCGCAGCAGCTGAGCTCAGAGCAGGTAGGTTGGGGGCTTCCTCTCCCCTTCTGCAGACAGACTGTGCATGTCTAGAAACTGATGTTGCTGCAGTAGTGCTAAAATTCCTGTCTTTTCTAACTCAGAAACACTGGAAGTCCCCTGTACCAGACAGATACATTCCTTCGAGGATGATCTTCAACAGAATGGAAGAGGTGTTTAGGGGAAAGAAAGGCCTGGCTGCCTGCACGAGGACAATCTCCACTGTGTCGTCCTGTGACAGGCGGGAGCCAACTCCACTTTACCAGGTCAATTCTGAAAAACTGTGTTCATTTTTCCTCCATTTCTGGAGCATGGGATCTAACACAAGCAGGGAAGAAGTTGTGCTTAAATACCGTCTAACCTATTTTCCAGGATTTTCCCTACTGTGCTTTAGCGTGGCTTTGTTTTGTTTTTTCTTCCATTATGAATTGTGTTTGACAGTCAGGGAATACGGTGTCTCCTGCTTCCAAGGAGGAATGCCTCGCTGCCCTTTCTCCAGCTCGCAGCCAGCACTGAGGGGAAGGTGCTTTTCCCACTCTCCTGTCAATGGAGAGGCATCTGCTGCCTCTTGTCTAGCACAGGGCCAGGGACCTGCACGCTCAAAGGCCAAGCTGAGGTATGAGGCAGATAAATAATGAAATCTCACTGTCTTTATCCTCAAGACAAACATGAAACACATTCTGGGAGGATAATTGACTTTAAAGGCTTGCTAAAAAAAGACACTTCCAAAAGCTTTAAAAGGCAGTTCAGTGAACTCCATTTTGATGCCTTTTTGCAACTCTCCTTCCCTAGGGATGTCTGTCTCTGTGTATCCTGAGCTATGCCCAAGACATTTCCCTCTGGTTCTCTTTGTTTTGTTATCTCCATTCATGTGTAGCACCTGTAAAATGAAAGTGCAATAACTAGTAATTCACCCAACAAATTTTAATGAATACTTCAGCTTTTATGGTTTCAGTTCTTAAAAAAAAAAAAAAAAAAAGGCAGTTTACCTGGGAAACCTTCAAACTGACAGTCATCCCAACTGACAGGAGAAACTGGGCTGTGTTCAAACTGGGCAGTGAGAAGGGGCTACTTTAAGCATAATGAAAACCTGCTTGACCAGAAATTTGCCAAGCTCTGCTGGGTCTGGCAACATCTGTTTGGAGCGGGTACAAGGTTGTGTGGTGGGCAGTATGGCCACTTGGCAAATAACAGGAAATGTTAAAAAACTGCCAGGGAATTCTGAGGTAGGCCCCATTATCATGAGTCCTTCTCCAGCAAAGAAAGAGTATTAACCACCACTGACTAGTGACAGTCTTCTTGTCAACCACAGCTCCAGTTCTCTGCTTTGCCATCCCACCAACCTTGCATGGCAGTTTTAGGGTGCTAATGGAGAGGTGTGCAGCCCTTTCTCTGGGCAGATGGGGATGATCATCAGGTGCAATGGCCCAGGCTCCCATCCTGGCTATAGCTCACCATGCCTGGTCAGATGAGGAGAATGGCATTTTGTTGGGGTAAGACACAGGTCATTTGCATTCCATACATCACGATAACCAGATTAAATTCCCAAGGTCCATCCATGTTCTTTGATGATACAGATAGTTTGAAACTTCATTTCTGTAGATTGCCTTCTCTGAACAGTACAGTAAATCTTTGTCTCAAAGTAATGTTGAATGGGCTCAGCTGCTGAGCTTGAAAAACTGGAGCATCGTGTTCCTAGATACTGCATGCTTGTCTTCAAGCTGGAAGAAGTCAATAAGGTAGAAAAAGGCACCAACTACTAGAGCCTAAGAAATCTACTTAGAAGGAGACAGTGGGTCATGAAAGTGGTGATTCAGACTGTCCTGTACGAGTCTGATGAATAGGAAGGAAGGGCTGTCACTGAAAGAAATACCAAAGTTTGGTACTTGACTGAATGAGGTTTCAAACAGACACATCCTTCAGTTTTCATGTTTGTTGAATATTTGATGCTCCAGCAGGTAGAAGCTAGGGGAGAAAATATTTACAGTCAGACCCCTATGCAGATGCCTGATCTTGTCAGTTGTATCTTGTACTGACTCAGAGACTTGGTTTTGGTGAGATTCTGACAGAATCATGGCCAAGGAGGGAGAAATATATGCAAGTGTCATGTAACAAAGCAATCAACCCTTTGGTCTTTGTGTGATTCTCTTCCCTTTTGAGATCCAGTAGTAAACTGGAAAGGCACAAGCATTCAGAATCCAACATTGCCTACCTGCAGAATGGCTTGAATGCAAGGAAGGGGCCAGCTGCAGTTTGCAGGGGCCTTGCCACCTGCACAAAATCATGACCCAAACAAGCCTGACATGGTAATGCAGTGGCTCCAGGTATCTGATAGCAAGGGGTGGGAGAGCACCAAATTCCCAAACGCAGAGCCACATGGCACAGGAACCATGAATTTTAGCTACATTGGTCCAAGTTCTGGATCCCCAGATAAACTATGGGTGTCCTTAATCTTACTGCTGCCTGAAGGAATTCTGGAAGATTTCCAAGTCATAGAGCCTCCTGAGAAATTTGTTTGCATTTTCTCCTGTATGCAAATTGGCAAGGCAGCAGCAATACATAAGCGTTTGCAATTGTGGCATTGCCTTTTGATTCCCATCTTGGGAGCAGGCAGCATCTTGAAAGATCAAACACCTGATCAAAGCCTGAGGACACATTAAGGATTTTTGTTCTCAGAGAAGTTTCCCCCAGAAATGGGGGAAAGGAAAATGGTACCTGCACATGGTGACTCTAGAGCAGATGGGTAAATACACACAACAGTATGATGCTATAGGCTTCCATTTTGTCTTCTTTCAACTCTCTATCCCTCATAAGACAGTGGGGTGTGCTGTCAAAGACCAAAGCAATCACAGAATCAACCAGGTTGGAAAAGACCTCTGAGATCATCAAGTCCAACCCATGACCCAACACCACCCTGAATCACATCTCCTCACTACTGGTTTATGCCCATGTGGCTTTAACCCTTCAGTTCCTCTTGGTAAAAACTCCAGTCCTTCCCCTGCTCATCTTCTGGCTGGCAGCTCCACCACCCCTGAGCACCGCCTCAGGACCCTCCTTTCCACAAAGGCTTTTGCCCCAATGGCTGCTGCATGGACTCTCCACAACCCTTCTGCCAGCAGTGCCTGCCCCTCCAGCCTGGGTGGCTGCTGGAGGCATCACTGCCGTGCCTGGGAGCAGTGCTATCAGTGCCTCATCAGGACGCAGCAGGAAGCGTCTGGCCTCCGCTCCACGACCATCTGCTAAAACCAGGCCTCCTCTGGCGGGAGTCCAACGCAAAGTAAACAGAGTTTCACAGCCAGATTTCAAACAGCAAAATAACTGAGAAATGTGGCTCACTGCTTCTGGTTTTCAAATTCAAAACATGGAAGTCCCTAGAAGCACAAATCCTTTATGGATCCTAAGACCTCTTGGTTGCCAAATGGATCCACTGCAGCTAACACTTGGGAAAAAGTGCAGTGATGTAGCAATATTAGTTAGCTACACCTAATTAGTTCAATTTATGCATTTGGTAATTTTTAAGATGATTTCTTTCTCAAGATCAGTGATGGAGAAAAATAAATTTGTTAAACTGCAGATTTCAGCTTGCAATATTTGTAGGGGTAACAGTACAGAGAGAAGAATTCTGAATCTTGCTACTGTACAATATTTTTCATGGTATAGGAGAGAGAGAGAGAAGGACTCAATGAAGTGTGAAAGATTTTTTAAAAGAACAGATTGCCATGTCTTTTAAAATAGGTCAAGTTTTTGGCCTAGTTTCCTTTAGAGTATCCCTTAAAGCAATGGGGTTTGAATATCCATGATGGTGCTGTTGCTTTTTTGTTTTTAGCCATGTCTATGTGTTGCTGTAGTTGTAAGGCAGAAATGTTCCAGCGTAAACTACAATGGCAAAGATCATGTGTCTGAAGCAGTATTTGTGAACAAGTTACAATGAACAGTAAAATTTCAGCAGTGGCTGCATTTCATCCTTATGTGTAATATTATTCTGAAAGAAGTGACTGAGAAAAAACAAACTATTAAAAAAGGTGATGGCCAGTGAAGCCAACACCTGCAAACCCAAATCCTGTCAAACGTGACCTATTAACTCTCCAAATTTCAGGAAGGTTTGCACCATTGTTTGCTTTCCATCTTTAAATTGATTAAATCAATTGATTAACTTGATTTAAGTAGAAAGAAGAAATATAATAATGACGTTTAGATTGAAGATACACAAGATAGCACTTATAAGAACAACCAAGGCCACCTATGTTGACTGGAGATAAAATACATCAATCAGTTGTCAAAGCAAAAAGAATCTGTATGTGTATATTTAGATTCTGAAAAAGGATGCTCAAGATATTTAAAGAGGGAGGAAATTCTGCGTGCAAAATTAATTAATATAGAATAAATACCATCTGTCTTCCATGCACAGAGCAGTCTGGTGCGTATATTTATGGGGGCATCTTTGCTCTGTGAACACAACAGGTATAATACACATGTATTCATGATGTTACACAGACTTCATTATTCCACACAACACACATACCAGTAATTGCAGCTGACCTTCATGCAGCTATATGGAGTGAAGCAGGCCATGAGGATTTCCTCTATCCCAGAGCCCTGGAAGAAGGCCAGGTACAAATCAAGGGTGGTTGTGTTTGGGGAATACAAGGACAGGACTTGTCACTTTACCTACTCTCCCCTGAGGCTGAGGTGGGAGCTCAGCACATCCCTATTAAGATGCAGGTTCCTCTTCCCACTAAGCTGATCCATAAGGACAGTGCCTCTCAGGCACAGCCCTTGAGAACATGCCTTGTGATGAAACTGTGGACTGACCTATTGCACAGCCAATAATAAACGTCAGCTGGCTTACAGCACTGTACAGTAATAAACACACTGAGGAGCTTGTCAGTGCACACTTTGGGAAAGCAGTACAGCCTGGGACAACATACACCATACACTAGGAATACAAATCTTCTGCAGGCTGTACACTTTATTATGAAAACTTTGTGATTCCAATTAAGCTGTGAGTGAAGGCAATGCAAAGGCTTTGTGTGGTATTCATCTCACTGTAGTGTGGAAAGATAAATCAGCCTTTAACAGTGGAAAGAGTTTTAAGAATACCTTTGTTTTAACGATTATCATTATTTTGCACTGAGATTTGTAGTTGTAACCACCATCAGGGCTGGAACCTTTGTTTGGTACCTGATCCTACTCTACATCCTTTGCTGAATGAACAGTGTGAGCTGCTACACACATGGCTTTGTGTGCACACTTTGTGTCATAAAAAGGCTCAAGAAGGGGAAAGAGGAAGTTTCTTTTTGCAGAATATCAAAAAGTGCAGGAAAAGTCATCTAGAGAGCTCCTAAGGATACTGATTTGTGAACAACTCTTTTTCACATATTACCCCCACTACTTCCTGCGAGACAAGAATATTACATACACAGGTCTGGTTTGACTTTTCACACTGGCAGTTCCTCCCAATGCTGCTCAAGTATCAAAACCACTTTCACTTCATAAGAGATCATAAATTCTTCCAGTTATAATTCTAAGAATATAATCTTTGTCTGCTACACTTTAAATAATTAACAAAGATACTAGGCAGATTTGTGATGCATTTGATAAGTAGCAAGAAAATGTTAGTGTCTCTGCAATGATCGTAATTCCAATAGCTGGTAAACACTTATCCTGCAAACAATCTCACTGACAAGTTTTCCTCAGCATGGATATGTGATTGCAGAATTCCTCAGTAAGGAGTGGTGGACTAAATCTCATTAATTTATAGTCTGAATCAAGGTGGTAAAAAGTAATTTTAATCTATTTGCATGAATTTATAAGCTTCACACAGAATTTTAGTCACCAGCACAGAGCTGGAGCACAGACATTTTCTCTTATCAGGGTGAAATATAAGAAAAGAAAGATTTGTTTATTTATGATAGGTACAAAGGTCCAGATTCCTAATGCCTTCATCTGCCTTTGTAAGGCACTGTGTGGTCCTGATGTCAGCAGCACATTCAGATCCCAGGGGCAAAACAGAAGCCCTGGGTGGAATGCCTGCTCTGTGGAACATACAGAACAATTACACTGAAGGCAAAGTAAGGCAACTGGCTCAGTTGCCTGAAGGATGGGACTTTGTTCTGTTGGGCTGAAGCAATCTTCTGTGGGGTTGGAGCCAAGAATGTTGAAAAGAAAATGTTCAAAATTCCATCTAGCTGAAATCTTACACTTATCCTATCTAGGTACTGGATGTAGCTCAGAGCCAAAATTGGGCTATCAAGAGAGGTCCCCACTGAGAGAGGGATGAAGCCAGAGAGCTGTTGAGGGAACCTGGTCCATGGGCAGATAACAACACGTGAATAGGGGTGGGAGGGAAAGGCTGGTTTGCAGTTTCCATGTCAGATGACATGGCAGTGACTGAGTTAGCACTGGTGGTTACAGCCTTCTCAGCACCCACAGGCATCTTTGTGGTCTTAACCAGTGTTTGGGTTGGATGCTCAACCTAGCAAAAAACCCAGTATCAAGTTTAGATAGGAGAAGAATGGCATGCTTTATTAAGATGCTTTATCAATGTCTTAATTAGCTGAACAGTTACAGTATCACTACTCTTACAAATCAATACCATGTACAGCCAAAAACCAGCTGTTCCCACACTGTCATGTTTCTAACATTGCTCTAATAATTCAAAGGAAAAAGAAACTAAGGTATGAACCTCAGTACAGGAGAGCACTTCACATCCTCTGCTGTTTTGAAATGAACCTAAGAGATTACTTGTATTTAAATAGCTTTTTAATATATATAATGTGTGAAATTATGGAAATTTAGATAAAAGATGCCATTTTAGAACTGGTATGATCTGGGAATAGAAGGAAAGTGGGGGGCTTATAAGTAATAAAATCCTAGACTTTACTATTTGGGATGGTGCTCATGGTTTTTCAGCAGTTTTAATGTGAACAGCCTCTAGTAGAGCAGCTCTGTTTACAAACCAGAGCACTTTGCATCTGGATGTTTTATACCACCATGCAAAGAGTAAAACTAATAAATTGGTAGGTCACCTTCCTAACTTGATGTTCCTGAGACAGATAATTTTCTTTCCTTCATGAAGCAAGGAAAGCATCAGGAAGAAGGGAAGTAGAGGCAGCTTTCACTCTGCTCGTTCACTTTAAACCCCAGAATGAGTTGATCGCATTTTGTTCATACAAATTTCCCATGTTGAGGAATTTCTTCATTTGCTTATCTTAGTTTCTTCCCTTTCAGTTTTTAAAAAGTCGAATTCGAGCAGAACCCAAGCTCAAAAATCCGACTGTCTAACCCCAGTTTCAGAATATTGCTTTTTACACGATGTTGTAAGGGCCAATTACCCAAATGTCATATCAACCCAGGAGAAAGGCTTGTCTCAGACACAGGCTGTGTTCTGTCCACATGCAAGAGGTAGGAGAAGTAATGTTTAGTCCTTTTATTAACTTACCAGGCACCCAACTTAGAGCTGTGCCTGTTTAGGCTTCTAAAAACAGTTTGCACTGAACATGCCCTCTGGCTTCCTGGAAGGGCTACTCCCATACCAGTAACTTGATATACTCACTCATGGTCACCATAACACCAGCCAAGCACATGGAAAGAAAAGCATCTTTAGAAAATACTTCAATGGGTTAAAAAAGCCAGCAGGGCACAGCTACCAAAGCCATGTCTGGGATTGTTCCCTCTGCAACACAGAGGGGGCTTGGTACCTTCTGGTTGTTTGCTGCTTGAAGAGGAAAAGGATGATTGTGCAGATGGCAACTTCTTACACAGAAAATCTGTTTTCAGAATTGCAGCAATTGGCTAGTTTGAGTTGCTTTATTTCTCCAGCATCAAGCTAAGGGAGGGGGTAGAAAGGTATCAGCTCTGCTAATGGCACACAGTGTGATTAACTAAATGTTACAGGCCCAGATTCTGCCCTCACTGTGCTGGTGATGCAGTTGCACAGCCATGTTAGAGGACAAACACAGCCACGGCTGAGTTACAGAGCTTTATTGCTAGTAATTTAACTGTCAAAAAGGAAACAATATACTGCATAAATGCCTGGTAAATGGTTAGAAAAGATTTTTTTTTTTAACCTTATCCACAGTGTATTTAATCTCAAATCACAGATGCAGATAGAACATGCTGCTATTACTTTTAAGCATGCAAGACCTGCCTCTCTGTAAGACAGAGTGGGGATTTTTTCTGATTTTGTTTTCATTCTGAGGGATTTCTTGAATAGAAATTTCAACAATCACAGTACACAGTTGTCTGTTGTAAAAAATACTACTATGCTTTTCAGCAATTTCCTCCCTTTCTGAAAGCATAGACAAATTAATGAAGGATAATCATAGCTTAGTCATGAAAACAATCTGTCAATATTTACATGGTGCTCTTTCATTTCTTGGTCTTTCTTTGCTGGTTTGATACTTCCACTAAGCCCAGTAAGCATCATCAAACCCCGGATCTAATAACTTGGGAAGGTGATATTTTGAGATGCATTTGCATTAGCAAGTGAAAATCCAAAGGCAGTGAGTAAAACTGTCCTCAGCATGAATCAAAATAATTGCTGAATGAGGGGTCAGGATATAATAGGATGGAAAAAAAAAGCAAAGAAAAAAAAAAGCAGGCGACCACACTGCAACTAGTGAGTCTGGTGAGTCGAGCTGAGTGTGCAGCAACGAGGTCTGTGGTGCACTGTGACCTTCCTCAGATGCTGACTGTAAAAATTTAGATTAATTTATACTTCTGTCCAAATAAAGATGCAGCTAATACATAGTTATGTCAGGTCCATTTTAAATTCTTTTGCTTACCTCAGGTTTTGATATCACTTTTTTAGAGGTCTAAGGAGATTCTTCTGAGAAACGAATTGGGCCTTGAAAACTCCCATCTACAACAGCTGGTGCCCCAGGCACCGTCTGGAAGAAAGAGCAGTTTAAGAGCTATCAGATTGCTTTTCCATCTCACTGGCATTACAGCTTCATAGTTCTGACTTACTGGGGATCAAACATGGATATTGATAGCTATTTCAGCATCAATGTGATTTCTCACCTCAGAAATGGGGGCTGTTATTGCAGCAGGAGCAGGCCCACAGCTTTTGCAGGGGCATTGAACACTTTGTTTTGTGGCAAGTCCGTAAGAGCTGCTGCTTCTGAAACCCAACTGCTCTTGTATTGCAAAGAATAACTCAGAGCGAGTCTGAAACCAAAAGTACTGCCACATAGACACAGCACATTTCTTTCAGAAGGGTTTTACCCAAAAGCATGACTGTCAGCTATAAAAGTCTCTCATTCATGCTTTTTGGGTTTGTCTTTTTTTTATCACTCTTGCAAAACTGCAGCCTGGGGACTAAGCGAACAAATTTTATACCTGGACCAGCTTTATCTCAACTGATTAAATGAGCATCCTCTCTATTTTTCCAAATTGAAAATCTCTCAAGAAGTTTACAGGTATTTGGGCTGGCAATAATGCACAGTCAGAGAAGGTACCTGGAACACAGCATGATGGAGGTGCTTTCAGGGGCAGCACACCTGAAATCACCCACTGAACTGGTGTCTGAATCCTCCAGTTCAGGGAGCAAAAATATGACACACAGTATCCCAAATCCCACAATTGGTTCCAAATAGTTTGTTTCCCAAACATTTCCAAGCGGTTTACTTGTTTTGAATTTCTCAGACACTTATGGATGACACAATCTTAGCATCAAATTATTGCCAAGTGTGCACAAGCCTCTTCCCAGAAGATCTGGCCCGGGGGTGAATAATGTACTTGGTGCATTTACAACACAATTACAAGGCAGAGCACAGAGCATGCACTGCCCTGCTCTGCCTGTCTGCCTCAGTTCAGACACTCTCACTCGAGCTACTCGGGTAAAAGCAGCAGCTTTACAATTTTTCCCACAGTACACTTCCCTCCTAAAAATCTCCCACACATGCATTCTTACTCCTGCAGCTCCACCAGTGCTAGCACGTGTGGGAGGGCTGGCATTTTTGGTACAAGAACATTTGGACCCCCTCTATAGTGTCTGCTCTGCTCCCTTGAATACATTTGCAATTAATCAGAGGAACGTATGACAAAGGGTGGGCTGCTGTGAAAGGTGCCCAGTGCACTTGGACTTAATAACCCCTCATTTCATGCGGATAATGACGCTCTCTTCCCCCCCAGACTTCCTTTTTTTCCTCCAAACTGAAAAACAATAAAAGTTCTGATCTGCTTAGGAAAAGTGCTGTAAGAGAGCCAGGCTCTATATTATTATATTGTCTAATATACTGTAACAAAACATTATTAAAATTGAAGCAGTTGAGTTCATTTCGAAATAGATGATGTCTGCAGATAAGTGTTCTTCAGATTATTCTTATTAATATTTTCACATATGTTATACTGGTTTTCATATAAACATTGTATGATCTTATGTGGTATGGAGTCAAATAGCTGGAATCCATTAAAACCATGCTCCAGCTGTGCAATCACTGTCCTCACAAAGATACATTTTTACATGTGGTTAATGCCAGGAAGAATCCACAGCTTCAATTATGGGAACATCAAAATATGTTGTTTATTGCAGAAAAAAAAGCATTTGCAGCAATTTAAAATATCCAGTCAACACCACACTGCTAAATCTAGATAATAGAAATCCCAGAGAAATTTGAGCTAAATCTGTCTGGATTATAGCAGTGGGATTATCTGAATGCTAAATTACTGTATATGTTTTACTCACAAACATGAGCACAGGCACTATAGGAAGATGGATGACTATGCAGATCGCAATAAAACCCATCCCCAAGAGACTTTTTCATATACTAGGTAAACAACCCCTCTCAATTTATCAAGCATTCTGGATTGAATTAATGCTGTCATTTACTTTGCTGTTGCTGTGTAGAGGAATATGGTTTAACGTGAACAGCTCCTTTAGCACCAGACAAATAACAAAGGTTTTCTCTGTGCACCCTTCACAACACATAGTGTGCAGGAATATGAATTGGCTGCCGTGTTTGTATAACTGAATTAAAGAAAATACAACTGCAGTTTAGTGTGTAATCAGAAAACCGAGTTATAGGCAATATTGAAAGAAAAGATTAACGCTGGTTGTCTTGTTAAACCTTCCCTTCCCCTCCCCCCTTGTTTACACACCAGTGTCTCTGGCTTTCTAAGGACATACAGTGGATGAACCTGGACTGACCTGACACATAGCATCTCTCAAACTTTCCCCTTGAATGATTCACAAATGTATGAGCTGGGACCAAAAAAAGCAAAGAGGAAAAACACAGGGTACTGCACAGGCTGAGCGAATCTGAAAGAGGTGAGACTGTCCAAGTGTGCCACAGAGCCCCTCCCCTGCCACAAGTGCACAGCTACTGACTGCAAACACACACTCCTGACCTCGCCATTTAGCTCCATTTGACAACTGCAAGAGAAATCACCTTCAGTTCTGTTCATGCAGGAATTATTATAATTCTTATTAATCTACTCAAAAACTAGTTTCTATTGCTCTCTGATGCTTTTTTTGATATTCTGTGTGCCCGTGCACTGCACAGTTACGTGGCATGGGAAGCAGTTGGGAGGGCTTTCCCGGGAAGAAGGCTAGACAGTAATTGCTGCTTCCTGTGAACAGCTACCAGCTGATGTAGATATGGCCACTTTCGTTTCCCTCTTTCTCATTCAAATAATATATGTAGCTCTGTAAACAGATTAAACACAATTCTGGATCCTGGGAAACTGTCAATGTAATCCTTTGGTCAAAGTACAAACAAACAAACAAACGGACCAGCCAGGGAGTTCAGCCGAATCCAAATTTTAAGATACATAGTTTTTGGCAGAAAACAAATTTAGAAAGGTCACCAAAACCTTGCTTTTTTACTGAGAAGGAGGGATTATTATGAATAAATGCCATAGAAATTTGGGCATGATAGCTGTTACTGTCAAACGTGTGCATGTGCCAACAGACTCGCAATGTCAGCACTCTCTGGTGTCTGAGATAACGAAACGCCCCTTCCATTCTTCAGTTTTTCTCCCTCAACCAAAGGAGCAATTTCTCACTACTTCTGCCACTGTTTCATCTGCTTTTGTGATGAATGTCTGAACACTTGTTGACCTAGAACACAAAAGTTTAGTTGTTACATGCACTGTCTGTAGCCCGGTGCTCTCACGGAGCTGAACCAGCGCTGGCAACAAGAAGCTATTTTAAGAGTGAAAGGTTAAAGTCACCTAGACACAAATATCACAGCATGAGTGGAAAGCTGAGTTAGTGAGCTCAGGTCTACTCTGTGTCAATGACTGCAATTCCCATTGCAGAGACCCCAGATCACACAGCACCCATCCCAAGGTGGGTCTCTGCATCTTAGTCTCTGCCACAAAAATAAGGTACAGAATAGAAAAACTTGAAATATAGGTAAGGCAAGCAAAGAAGTGAAGGTTGGAAACTGCTAACAGGAACACTTTTTTTAAAAATGGAGATAAAGCATGAACAAAAGCAAATTCTAAAAGAACTTGGCAAGACCCAGTATTGTTTCATGCCATGTTACTAATTTAAAGGATAAAACATTTTGATGGACTGAAACATTACAAACAGATTTAAAGCAAAAGAAGAAATATTCTGATTTCAAACAGTGCAGCACAGCCATAGTTAAAACAATAAAACAGGGTACCTCACATTACTTGCAGGAACTAGATATGCTTCTTCCATCTCTTTTATATTCATTATGAATTTTTTTTCTACTGTAGCCCAGACACAATTTAAACTATTCCCTCTGTCAGGAGAAACCAAACTATAAAGGCAAATATTAACTCACATAGCATGTCATTCAGGAAAAATAAATATGTTTTGATTAGCATGAGCAATATTTCAGGAGATGGATTGATTCCCACTCAAATGGAGATTAAAAAAATTGAGAAATTTCATTCAGCAATGTAGTTAGATAACAGCTAACATGCTTATTACTATATATGAGCTTAACCATTTTCCTGAAACAGAATTCCAACATTAGAATGAATGTCCAACAAAACTCAAATCTCTGTAAAACACTGAATGCTCAGACACACAAGTACTTGGCACTTATCTAACAGCTGTTCAATGCAACCCAGAAAGGAGGTAGTTAATTTTCATTTCCTGTTGGACAGCTGACCACATAAGGAAAAACAACATTGTACATGGCATGGAACAACATTCCATGCAGCTTCACGGCTAATGTCAACACAGTTGGATAGGCTGCATGAAAATAAACCACAACCTTACTGGAGGTGGTTTCTCTACTGCAGGCCAGCACTTGGTCATGGTGCCAGAAGAGCACAGGGGAAGGATGCATGATTGCTGTTCATGCTGTACTGACTTCAAAAATAAAAAGGAAAAATGAACTTATTTTCCCTGCCATTACCTACATTTTTCCTCTTTCACAAGCGATATGTTACAAAGATTTTTCCAGTCCTTAATTTCCCATTGTATGCCAGTTAAGTGATGTCTTCTCTACAGCCTTCTATATTTTTGACTTTAAAAAGTCCTCAGAAAAACCTCCACTAACTCTGCTCATTGCACTCACAACTTAATGTGCTGAACTCTTAATAGCTCTTTCTTCACTGTCCCAGTCTGGCTTGGGAGACCCTTTCCTTAGATCATTCACCAAGGTTAAATGAGCTCTGACAAAGCTTTCTGGGGATGTTTTCCTTTTGCTCACTTTGTGTGATCTCCAGCATCATCTCCCAGATCAGCCAGCGAAAGTTCCTTCTCTGATTTCCTCTGCACATGGGACAGACTGTGTTGTTCTGTGCCTCAGGCCAAGGAATGGAGCAGAAGAACATGAGTAACTCAGGCCTACTGCAAAGTTGTTACACAGCAAGAGAACAGACACCAGGGATGCTGTGAGCAAACCCCTGAGAGTCTGACACTCAGAAACCTGTGCTGCTCTGCTAAGTTAGCTTGCTAGGA